TGCAAGTAACGTCTTTGTTGTTGCAATATCGCAAACGGACGTGGCAGTTTAACTGCTATGTATTCCAGGGGTATACTACAAAGCAGGATCAATGAGTTAGCCAGCTAACTTGCCTAAATATTCTGAAATAACTTATTTTTAAGAAAGATAAGTTTGAAATATGCATGGTTTAATTGATTCAACAAACAAAAACACATATGTTTAGCTTTCATAATAAACCAGAAAATCAATAGTTATTTATGTGTTGTTTATCAAAGTTAGCTGGCTAACTCATTGATCCTGCTTTGTAGTATACCCCTCAGGTTCAAGATCATGGGAGAGGTTTAAATAGAAAACACAATTTTGTTATTTTACTATTTTTTTTAACCTCAAATCAAGGAAGCGCCCGTGACCCCAAAATGGGCAATCCCATTTTGGGGTCAAAACCCCTAGGTTGGAAACCCCGAACTAGAGGATAGTAGCAGCAAACACTCCCGAGTCAATACACACATAAATTATTGTTGCACCTTGGGGTCTTGGAGAGGTTCTCTCTCCACTGTGTTCAATCGTTAACAAGGTGAACTCGTTAGACAAACACAGATGGAATCATTGTTCCTCATTGCCGTGACTGATAATGACTTGGAAAATGACAAAAACACTATTTACAAAGATAGGGAGATTTTCTTTCCCCCGCAAAAATGCCTGAATTGAACTCATCACTCACAGTGAAATGTGACTGATATTTGAGTCACGCTGCATTACAGCAATCTTTACTCCTACGAATACACTCCCGAGGATCCACAAAGAACATTACCATGAGATGTGCATGGAATGTCAACATACTGCACACACTCAAGATGACAAACTAGACCTTATAACATCAACAAGGTAAAGAAAAAAAAAATGTAGAGGAAAATAAGTCTACAAAATGGAACCATCTACTCAATCCTATGCCAATGATATGCTATGGCAATGGTATATTGGCGGGCATGGTTATTTTCTACCCCTCTACACTATTACAAGGGCCAGTTTTAAGATGCAATGGTAATACTGAGACAAAGAGATGTTAATAATAAGTGACCAAAGAAGAGCTTGAGGGCTATGGTCTTTTGGCCATATGAGTGGATTGGAGAGGGTCAAGCTTGTACTCTGCTCATAAAGAAAGGAAGGAAAATAAAGACTGAAAAGGTTGGAAACTTTGGGGCAAAGTGGATGGCGAGGCGAGTGGAGAGGGCACACAGCACTGACGGATGACTTAAATTTAAGGAACTGCCTCCATCCGGCCCCATCGCACACAAACAAACTTCATCAGCTACATTTGTCACTGCTGTGAGCAGGGCCCGGCTGTTTGATGCTCCGGCTAAGTTTGATAAGGTCATTGTGGGAGAAACTCACTTCGCTGCTCTGTCTTCTGCAGTCTACATTTTCCCCCTCTCTAATTATGTAGATTTAGTTGGAAAGGACAGGCAGAGGACTCTGCGCTAAAACCCAGTAATCCAGCCTTCCCTGGATTACTCACTCTCTCAGAGCACAGCAAAAGGGGGAGTCAACACCACAAAAAGGCCATCTGCTTCATTCCCAAAATTGGGGACAGACAAATGGTAAAACCATATTTTATGCAAAGGAAAAAGCCAGATACGCTTCTAATAAGTGGGTAGCATCTAAACATTACGCCTTCTAGTCTGTTGTTACAAAAAACCCGGACTGCATTGAAAAGGGGATTTACGGCTTCGCAATGGTCAGGTCTCTTAAGTGGTATATTCAAATAAAACTAAAGATTGTTCCACACTTGTTATGAGTAGATATTACCATAAATCTTTCGATAGCTTTTCCACAAAAATGATACAATTACAATGACAAAAGGAGGCCATTTTCAGTAGTGAAGCAACAATAGTGATTTGCTGACTTTCTATTTTGAGAGTACATTACTGTAAAATCGCTGTGAAGATAATGCAGCTCCCCTGGTTAACTGAGGCACCCACTGACCACTGACATGTTAAAGGGGGAGTGAGACGAGTGCCTATGGGTTTTACAGAAAGGGGGAAAAAAAGTACTGCAGAGGAAGGTGACCTCTCAAGCACACTAAGTGGGTTTAAAGACATCTTTCATACATAACTACTAATATAACCATTGGATTGGTCAGTTGTCATGGTGACAGCAAAAATCTGTAACAGGAGGAGACAACAAATGTCCAAAACACAAAAATACACTCTGCTGTGGACAGATTATGAAAAATCCTATTCTGGCATTCTACAGCATTCGGGATCTGCTAAATTACACTAAACAAAAATATAAACGCAACATGTAAAGTGTTGGTCCCATGTTTCATTAGATGAAATAAATGATCCCAGAAATGTTCCATACGCACAAAAATATTATTTATTTATCTAAAATCTTGTGCACAAATTTGTTTATATCCATGTTAGTGAGCATTTCTCCTTTGTCAAGATAATCATCCACCTGACAGGAGTGGCATATCAAGAAGCTGATTAAACAGCGTGATCATTACACAGGTGCACCTTGAGGACAATAAAAGGCCACTCTAAAATGTGCAGTTGTGTCACACAACACAACGCCACAGATGTCTCAAGTTTTGAGGGAGCATACAATTGGAATGCTGACTGCAGGAATGTCCACCAGAGCTGTTGCCAGAGAATTGGATGTTCATTTCTCTACCATAAGCCACCTCTGGCATTTTAGAGAACTTGGCTGCATGTCCAACTGGCCTCACAACCGCAGACCACGTGTAATAGCCATCACGTCATGTTTCAGCATGATAATGCACAGCCCCATATTGCAAGGATCTGTACACAATTCCTGGAAGCTGAAAATGTCCCAGTTCTTCCATGAACTGCATACTCACCAGACATGTCACCCATTGAGCCCGCTTGGGATGCTCTGGATCGACGTATACGACAGCGTGTTCCAGTTCCCGCCAATATCCAGCAACTTTGCACAGCCATTGAAGAGGAGTGGGACAACATTCCACAAGCCACAATCAACAGCCTGATCCACTCTATGCGAGGAAGATGTCGCGCTGCATGAGGCAAATGGTGGTCACATCAGATACTGACTGGTTCTCTGATCCACTCCCCTACTTTCTTTTTTAAAGGTATCTGTGACCAACATATGCATATCTGTATTCTCAGTCATGTGAAATCCATAGATTAGGACTGATTTCCTTATATGAACTGTAACTCAGTAAAGTCTTTGAATAGCATGAAAAAAAAAAAAGATATGCACTCACTAACTGTAAGTCGCTCTGGATAAGAGCGTCTGCTAAATGACAAAAAAATTAATATATTGTTGCATATTGCTTTTATCTTTTTGTTCAGTGTAAGTTATGTCAATCACAGGGGAGTCGTGGGCAAGGCCTACGCCCATGTAATATTTGAACATGATGTGCTGGGAGCTGGAGGTCTGAAAGCTGCCCCAGGTGAGCCTCAGATGACATGAAACCACTTCCTTCTCTGTGAAAGGCATAACAAGCTGCACCACCGATGCCAATAAAAGTAATGGAATACCTTGAAGTCCCTGTCGCGAACTGTGCCCCATTATTCTGAATAAACGCCTGGGGTATCTCTAGAGGTAGTGGGATTAGTGTAATAGCAGAGCTATACTATTATGACATGTCACACAGAAGTCACATTTTGTGAGGTCCCACAATTTCCATTGGGTTTTGTCATACACCTAGGATTACAAAATTCCGGTAACTTTCCCCAAAATTCCCAGAAATCCTGGTTAGAATATTCCTGTCATCAAGAATAAACAGGAAATCTGGGAATCCTTCATCCAGGACTTCTGGAAAACCTGAGAATCTTATGGGAATTTTGGAACTCTAGTCATACATATTTTGATATTACCGTCAATGACATGGATCTTTCCTTTCTATCAAGTCAAGTGGCGCTACAGCCGAGCATAAAAAATTAATGATTAAGCCAAAAAAAAGTGGGGAAAAGCTATAACAGGTAATGGGTCACAGATGGCGACTGGGACTTGAAGGTATTACATTACTGTTGTTTATTTTGAACCAGTGATGCAGCATTCTATGCTTCATGCAGAGAAGGCAGTGGTTTGAAGTAATATGAGGCTGCATTGTCTTAGAGCCAGACAAGCGGCAACTTTCAAACCTGGAACTGCAGTGAGGGAGAGGGGGAATAGAACAAGTGGAGAGAAAAAAATATATATGTGATGAAACATAAAGAGCCAGTGAGAGCTAGAGAACCAAACAGAGAGAGAGAGGAGTGAGATGTAATGGGGGAAAACAGTGTGATGAGAGCAACAAGAGTGAAAGAGTACCATCGGGACAGCAAGAGGAAATTTAACACAAAAAGTGAAAGGGACAGAAAATAGTGGTCTTGGGATCTGGGACAAGCATGTCTGCGTATTGTACATCTGTCAGCCTGCCAGTCCCCCCTCGTAGTGTGGAGCAGATCTCCTCTGGTGAGACCACAGGGGGTAGAAGGAATAATACATTAATTTCCTTCTAGAATGTGCCAAAGTAATTTACATCTGTGAAAATAAAAACCTGAAAGTGGGCTTCAGGCTTTAACCAAGTGAATGGTGGTCGCGTTGCCCCTGTATCGAGCTAGAATCAAATAATTCCAGTCAAGGTGCAGCACGTTCCATGCCATTATATTACAATAGACATCACCTGGAACGAGATGCAGAGAAACACGTACGCCAAGGAAGTGGCTGTGTGATATTACTTTCAGTCATAAAACGGATGGGTGCTTGAAAGGGTATTTTAGAACAAAGAGAAACACTTGAGAAGAAATGTAAAACAGTATTTGGATAGGTACTAACTAAAGCACTTGTCAAATGTTTTCCATGTTAAATTACATTTTATATACCAAACAATCACGTGTAACTGTAAATTGTATGTTTTATTTGACAGTTTGGAAAATCTCTAATGTTCCCAAAATAGTTGGGAACATCCCCAAATAATAACAGGACAACAAGACATTGAAGAGGATGCTCCATAACACAGAGTGTTCGGTAAATGTCCTCTTTCGCGAGCCCTAGCGCCGGTTCCCCAGCAGATGCAGGACCAGCTCTTCGTCCTCAGCCAGAGAGAGGCCAGTGTCCAGGGGCTTGGCAGCTGCCTGTTGCCTGGGTCTCTTCCGGGTTCCCGCTGCCTCTTCTTCCTCACCAGAGTCATCGCTGCAGTCACTGTGGCTGCGCTTCCTCATCCCAGCAGTAGGGCTTTAAACAAAGAGAGGAAAAAGGTTTTAACAATCAGTTTAGCTCACATCAATGGGAGTGCGGTTTATATTGAGGGTCGGTCTATGGAGATGGGCTTTGAAAGGTGTTATGAGAGATACCGTGGTTCATGGGGATCTGTGTAAGAGAGGAAGAGGAACGCAACCCTGGGAGGTACCTTGGTTAAAAGTCTTCCAATGTTGCTAGCTGTTTGATTGCTTTCGGCTGCTCACGGTTCTTTGTAATTAAGAGGGATGGAAAGATGCATCCGTCTCATATCTATCTGATAGGGGAGATAGCTGGCCCTCTTTATTCAAAGTTGTGAGATGGCGTGGAAATAAGCAGTTCTATAGAGATCTCCAGGACTCTGTGTCAGGATGATCAGACACCAGCAATGGCATAATGGGATTAATTGAAAAAATTAGCCAAAAAAAACACGTCTAAAACTTTGGGAACACGACTTAACTTTGATGAAGTCAATTGTTGTGGATCAATTGAGAGGGGAATGCTTTATCATGTGAACAGGAAGCAGAGTGAAACACAGTTATTGCTGATAGAGTCGTCTCTCCTATTATCTACACCTCCGATTCATGACACTCTACAACTCTGGGGCTGGGTGGTGAGCACTAGGAATACAAATTGGCTGCCTTAGATGCAGAACCCCCATTGGGGTCATATTCATTAAGGAACACAGTAGGAAAACGGTTTGCAACGGAAAACTAAAACAAGTGTTTTTTTGTTGTTGGATAAGTTCAGATGGTACCTCCTCGTTTCGCCTGTTTTCCTCCAATTAATTTCTAATGAGTTACTTTTAAAGTAACCTTGCCAACCACAAACATGTAGGCAAGCGCATTCTCTTGACAGTCTTTCAGCTAGCCATAAAGAGGAGTAATTTAACCCAAAGTAAAAAGGAAGGGGAAAACCAGTGGTACATTTGTCTTGCTTTGCTGTTTGTTAGTGCTGACAGGGTGGTTCTCTCTAACCTTAGTCCATGGTGAACACAACCTGAGCCCAAATGAAGAACTTAGTTTGTAGAAAATCTGTTTGGTGCAGATAGTGAAAACATGATAAGTTGGGGAATGGTCCCACCTGATCAGAGTAAGTTATGTTTGCAATTTTAATCTATACTGAACAAAAATATAAAACGCAACATGCAACAATTTCAAAGACTTTGCTGAGTTACAATTCATTTAAAGAAATCAGTCAATTGAAATAAATTCATTAGTCCCTAATCTATGGATTTCACATGACTGGGAATACAAATATGCATCTGTTGGTCACAGATACCTTCAAAAAAGGTAGGGGCGTGGATCAGAAAACCAGTCAGTATCTGGTGTGACCACCATTTGCCTCATGCAGCGAGACACATCTCCTTTGCATAGAGTTGATCAGGCTGTTGATTGTGGCCTGTGGAATGTTGTCCCACTCCTCTTCAATGGCTGTGTGAAGTTGCTGGATATTGGCGGGAACTGGAACACGCCATTGTACACGTCGATACAGAGCATCCCAAACATGCTCAATGGGTGACATGTCTGGTGAGTATGCAGGCCATGGAAGAACTGGGACATTTTCAGCTTCCAGGAATTGTGTACAGATCCTTGCAACATGGGGCCGTACATTATCATGCTGGAACATGAATAGCACAACAATGGGCCTCAGGATCTCGTCACGGTATCTCTGTGCATTCAAATTGCCATCCATAAAATGCAATTGTGTTCGTTGTCCGTAGCTTATGCCTGCCTATACCATAACCCAACCTCCCCCATGGGGCACACTGTTCACAACGTCGACATCAGCAAACCACTCGCCCACACGACGCAATACACGCGGTCTGCCATCTGCCACCGTTTGTCCCCAGCGCAAGGTGCACCTGTGTAATGATCATGCTGTTTAATCAGCTTCTTGATATGCCACATCTGTCAGGTGGATGGATTATCTTGGAAAATGAGAAATGCTCACTAACAGGGATGTAAACAAATTTGTGCACAACATTTCTGAGAAAAAAGATTTTGTGAGCGTATGGAACATTTCTGGGATCTTTCATTTGAGCTCATGAAACATGGGACCAACAACTTTACATGTTGTGTTTATATTTTTGTTCAGTGTAGCTACGGAGGAGCGGCTAATATGGAGTAACTTTAAATGTCAGAGAGTTGGCTCAACGCCGAGGCTAGCTCAACGCCCTGGACCAGAGCTAGCTAACAAGCTTGTGTGCGCAGCGGCACCAGAATTCAAAACACTTACACAAGTCTTACCGTTTTGTTATTAATAAATCCAATGTGAAACATACAATCATAACTATAGTATCCTTAACTAGCCTAGAAAACTAGCTGGCAGGCAGACACTGGATGGACAAGTTTTAGAGACAAAGTGCTTTACATAGGCACTTTGATGGCCTTGGAACATAAGTCATTATTAACTGGTTTCAATGCATTTAAAAGAATCGTTCTGGTTAAATCATCAACACTTAAGCAGTGTTCACATTGGCAGTTTGAAGTGACTCAAATACTACACTGCTCAAAAAAATAAAGGGAACACTAAAATAACACATCCTAGATCTGAATGAATGAAATAATCTTATTAAATACTTTTTTCTTTACATAGTTGAATGTGCTGACAACAAAATCACACACAAATTATCAATGGAAATCAAATTTATCAACCCATGGAGGTCTGGATTTGGAGTCACCCTCAAAATTAAAGTGGAAAACCACACTACAAGCTGATCCAACTTTGATGTAATGTCCTTAAAACAAGTCAAAATGAGGCTCAGTAGTGTGTGTGGCCTCCACGTACGTGCCTGTATGACCTCCCTACAACGCCTGGGCATGCTCCTGATGAGGTGGCGGATGGTCTCCTGAGGGATCTCCTCCCAGACCTGGACTAAAGCATCCGCCAACTCCTGGACAGTCTGTGGTGCAACGTGGCGTTGGTGGATGGAGCGAGACATGATGTCCCAGATGTGCTCAATTGGATTCAGGTCTGGGGAACGGGCGGGCCAGTCCATAGCATCAATGCCTTCCTCTTGCAGGAACTGCTGACACACTCCAGCCACATGAGGTCTAGCATTGTCTTGCATTAGGAGGAACCCAGGGCCAACCGCACCAGCATATGGTCTCACAAGGGGTCTGAGGATCTCATCTCGGTACCTAATGGCAGTCAGGCTACCTCTGGCGAGCACATGGAGGGCTGTGCGGCCCCCCAAAGAAATGCCACCCCATACCATGACTGACCAACCGCCAAACCGGTCATGCTGGAGGATGTTGCAGGCAGCAGAACGTTCTCCACGGCGTCTCCAGACTCTGTCACGTGCTCAGTGTGAACCTGCTTTCATCTGTGAAGAGCACAGGGCGCCAGTGCCGAATTTGCCAATCTTGGTGTTCTCTGGCAAATGCCAAACGTCCTGCACGGTGTTGGGCTGTAAGCACAACCCCCACCTGTGGACGTCGGGCCCTCATACCACCCTCATGGAGTCTGTTTCTGACCGTTTGAGCAGACACATGCACATTTGTGGCCTGCTGGAGGTCATTTTGCAGGGCTCTGGCAGTGCTCCTCCTTGCACAAAGGCGGCGGTAGCAGTCCTGCTACTGGGTTGTTGCCTTCCTACGGCCTCCTCGTCTCCTGATGTACTGGCCTGTCACCTGGTAGTGCCTCCATGCTCTGGACACTACGCTGACAGACACAGCAAACCTTCTTGCCACAGCTCGCATTGATGTGCCATCCTGGATGAGCTGCACTACCTGAGCCACTTGTGTGGGTGGTAGACTCCGTCTCATGCTACCACTAGAGTGAAAGCACCGCCAGCATTCAAAAGTGACCAAAACATCAGCCAGGAAGCATAGGAACTGAGAAGTGGTCTGTGGTCACCACCTGCAAAACCAGTCCTTTATTGGGGGTGTCTTGCTAATTGCCTATAATGTCCACCTGTTGTCTATTCCATTTGCACAACAGCATGTGAAATGTATTGTCAATCAGTGTTGCTTCCTAAGTGGACAGTTTGATTTCACAGAAGTGTGATTGACTTGGAGTTACATTGTGTTGTTTAAGTGTTCCCTTTATTTTTTTGAGCAGTGTATTTTTTTGCATATCCAATTAGAATCTGTTCTTTTTCCTGCAGTCTGAACAGCCAAAAAGCACATGGAATCAGATATTTCAAGCCACAATTCAAACCACCTTCGTAAGTGGTTTGAGAAGTCAAATACAAATCTGATTCCTGGCCATGTGACTTGTGTCTGAACGGTCAAATGTGATTTGCCCTCCAATGGTTTTTAGACTGTTATCCATAAAATGCAATTTCTTTGAAAGTTGGATCATCATATCCTTTGAGGCTTTAAAAAAAAGCCTCTTACATTGGGAAATGTCCATGGCAGGCGTTGTCGTCACCTTTGTTTGCTACATAACTTCTGAGTGATAGGAAGCACGAGCACACCACCACCACCCAGCCTACACCACTGCACACACCCGTCATTACGATAATAACTATCGTTGCCATGTCAACAAATGACTGCTGTCTGAACACACACAAGTCTGATTTGGTCACTTGTAACTCGCTGTTTGGACTGTCAGTATTCCAAAACGGATTTGAAAAACGAAACTGTTGAATAATTTAAGGCTTTTCTCATGTGGATCCACACATAACTGTATGTGGTGGTATATAATATATAGACAGGAATGGGGTTAACAACTGATAAGAGGGAATGTTTCATATGTTATGGCCCTCACGTCAATCATGGCTTAAGTTGTGTTGCAAACATAATTAATTCCGATCAGGTGGGACGATTCCCCAACATCTAATGTTCTTACTATCTGCACCAAACAGATTTTCTACAAACAAAGTTCTTCATTTGGGCTCAGGTTGTGTTCACCATGGACTAAGGTTAGAGAGAACCACCCTGACAGCACTAACAAACAGCAAAGCAAGACAAATGTACCACTGGTTTTCCCCTTCCTTTTTTACTTTGGGTTAAATTACTCCTCTTTATGGCTAGCTGAAAGACTGTCAAGAGAATGCGCTTGCCTACATGTTTATGGTTGGCAAGGTTACTGTTAAAAGTAACTCGCCTCACCTTATATCCTCACTGTAAATCAGTTTATACTCCAGAGTTCTATGTTTTCTGTATTTATATAGTTTATTCCGTATGTTGGTTATGTTTCTGTATTCTGTTTGTACATTGTCTATTGCTGGCAGCAACTATTCACCAAGTCAAATTCTGGGTATGTGTATTGGTTGGTTTATTCGGATCTCCATTAGCTTTTGCCGAAACAGCAGCTATTTCTACCTGGGGTCCACACAAAAACATAAAACACAAATCTAAAATAAAACAATATACAGCGCTCTCCTGAATTATTGGCCCCTAGGTAAAGATGAACAAAAAAGGCTATGGAAAAGTTTCTGCATTTCCAGCACTCATTTGAGAATTTCCACACTGCCACTGCACGATATGGGGAAACAATCTAGGCCTTATTTTTAACCAAATGGTGCAATTGCGATTTGACTTGCGATTTAGCGCAAAACACTTTGGTGAACTGTTGGAATCATGGAAATAGAATGATTATTCTAATTCTATAGTTAGAATTTAATAGTGGGCACTTTGAATACAGTGTTGTTTGACATGACAATGAATGAAAATGCCAGGGATGAGTTACTGTGACAGGTAAGGAACCAAAGTGTTATTTTGTTTTTTTTAGGAACCAAAGTGTTGATAAGTGTTTCCTAGGGGACCCTATAATCTTTGGCTACATTGAATGTTCTCTCTTCACTAATGTATGTAGCTAACATTCATGCTTCGCGTATTCCTCTTTGATTTAGAAGATACTGTTGCACAAACAACATGCTGATTTAGGTCTACACCATCACTGGTATTATCAGGCTGTATAGCTAATTACGTTTGCTCTGACTCAGTACATTTATTAGCTAGCTAACTAGCTAACTAGCGATTACCATTAGCGGCTAACAAGATTTAGGCCCAACTTCCTAAGAAAAGACAAACTAGCTGCTTGCAGATGTAAGAAACACAAACTAAATGTAATTATAGAACGCTAGTGGATTTATAATAAGAAGCAAAGTGAAAACAGCATCGTTGTCATCAACATTGTTGTATGTGCTGCATTGACCATGCAGACTGAACGCAAGTGACTCCTGGTCGAGGAACAACAAATGTGCTCCTTGAGTGACAGAGGGTGGGGCTAAGTCTGTGTGGAAAGCGGCATAGAGAGAGAGTGAAGAGAGATGACAGGGTTTAGCCGGCAGGGGTATTCTTGTCCCATCGCGCACAAGCGACTCCTGTGGCGGGCCGGGTGCAGTGCACATAATCAATGTTATTTGATTATGCCTACAATCTGGAATTTTCGTCAGTAATATTTATAATAAAAACTAGAAGAGAAGCAGTTAAATCTCTCGTCAACCCTCAACCAGGAAAGACTGGCATGCATGTTGTCAATGTTAGTTCTGTATGTGCAGTTAAGGGCAAAGCGTGCTGCTCTGTTTTGAGCCAGCTGCAGCTTTACTAGGTTTTTCTTTGCTGCACTTGACCATATTACCAGACTGTAATCAAGATTGGACAAGACCAGAGCCTGAAAAACTAGCACAGTTGATTTTTGTACTTGGCGAATAACGTGATTCTGATTTTGGTGGTGGTGATACATAATTAACACAGTGTCAGAAACGAGGGTAATATGGGCTGCTAAAGGCTGTGCATCAATCAATTGCGCCCCTATGGTTAGCGAGTAGCATGCTAATGATTGTCTATATCCAATTAAAGCCAATTGGCCTTAGAGCTGTCCTGGGGACATCAAACCATCCAAACACCTGATAGTGCTGCTACTCATCATGTCACCGGCTGTTGCCCTGGAGATCACGATCAAACGACTCAGTGATTACGTCAGCCAGGGAGACTGTCAATTACACTGTCATTCATCATCACCACAGGATATGAGCAGTGGAGTCAGTCAACCAGAGGAATAGGCCAGTACAGGCATGGATGGACTCAGCAGGGACATGGAATGGATAGACAGTACAGCATATCCTTGGTGCGCTGTAACAATGGCCAGGCCATAAACCAGCAGCACAGGGAGGGTTCTCTTACAGATAGTAGTGGTGTGTGGAAATCTGCCAGGGGAAGGCACTAGGAGGTGGTGTTAATATACACTGGAGGCAAGAGAGAGAGGGAGAGAGAGAGGAGGGGGGTGCAGTAGAAGGTGTCAAGGTTAGGGTGATAAATAAGTGGTGTTCTGAGAAACCCCTCCTTGGTATAAACCAGTGTCCCGAGGAGAGAGGCAGGCAGGCAGGCTAGTGGTAGATCTCCGTGGTAACGGGCCAGCGTAGTCATGCAGTGAACGCCGGGGGAGTGGAGCGATGCATAAATCTCCTCTCGCCCCCAGCCCTCTGGACTAGTGGGCTTACGGAGGAGGAGGAGATGGAATGAACATCACCTGCTCCTTCACACACAAGGGGAGAGGGAGGGGGTAATAAATGCAGGCGGAGGGAGAGAAAGAGGCAGAGAGAGAGAAAGAAGTGTATGTGAGGAAGCGAACAGCACAGGGCCAGAGAGAGGTAAGTAGAATCAAGTCAGAGCGCGAGAGCACAAAGACAATACAACGTAGCAGACACCTAAGACCTCGAGAAAAGAGAGGAAGATGTGGAGCAGAAAACCAGAAGCCTCGTACTGCCTGACTCTCTGCCTTTAAATCCTTGGTGCATTGCCCTGTAGCGAGAGGCCACGTTGCCCTTCACCCTCGGCTGCCACTTTTAATCTGCCTCTAACTACACACTTTATAGCCTAGCTGCCACACACCCCACGATCAATGCCTCGGCCAGCGGGCTACAAAGGGAGTCCTCCCTCCTGGAAAGGGTATAGTTCTGCTCTGGAGGCAATTACACCTCGAATCCCAATAACCCCAGGCAGACGAGCAGGGATACAGCGCTGCAAATCTAATGAATCTAGGAATGCTCGATAGAAACAACCCCCGCTACAACAGACTGCCGGTCCTATAACGCTGCGCAGCTCGTTGTTTTCCAATATGGATTTCTTGAGAAATGTCAGACCATTGCTGGATCACAAGCCCATGGCTTCTCGATTCTGTCTGGTAGCTTTGAAAATATTGGACATGTAACAGTGAATTCCAGACATCTAGGCTTGGTCGAATTGATGCCTGTTCTTTCAGATCTACTAGTCACAAAATCCTTATGGGTAGGGGCTGCATTGTCAAGTGATTTTAAATGCTCTGGCTGGAGCCTTTAGTCTATCATACATTCAGTTTCAGCCTAAAAACTAGCTGGTACAGTAGCCTATAGTTTTTACCTGCTCTGGTCATCTTCTTCCTCTGAGTCGGAGCATAGTTTGTCCGGGTCGGGCAGCGTGCTGGGGTCAAACTCCTCTCCATCGGCACCGTCCAGGTACGCTACCACCTCCTCTTCATCATTCTCATCCTCCTCACCTGACTTCTGCTCCTGGGACAAACACAACGGGACAAAATACACTGTTACTTCAAATACCTCAGGTGTTGGATTCAATAAGCAAATCAACCAATTGTGTGAAGACTATATGAAACCCGATGAATGATGCACCGGCTGTCTTGAAAAAGGTCTTACTGACCGAATAATTTACACATCAAAAGGTACAGATGTAAATGGTGAGTGGGGGTAAGATAGGAACATCACACAAGTTGTGTGCGATGTCAATAGCTTCAGTTGACATTGGCAATGCAATCAATAAAATAGATGAACTAACATGGTGAGGAGGAGAAACAAATTCCCCATACACAGTAATGTATGAGTACCGATGTTAGTGTATCCAATTACTGGATGCCATCTTTCATGAGGAGAAAGCTTGCCAAACCACACTAAAATCACACCCCTATATGAAATCAGCAACAATACTAAGTCTGAAGCTGGAAAGTAGCAATACTGCTGGGGGGCGGACAGAAATAATAGGATGAAAATGTATTCACAGTGAAAGCCAGAGGGATACAAATATCTGGAAGGTTAAAGCAGTATAAGATAAGAAAACTCAAACTGCCTGGTGCAGGAGTAGGTTAAAGGAATAGGGGAAAGATAAACGCAGCTGGATATTGAGGTTTACAGAGACAGGCAGAAAGGTAACCCTAGTAATGCGAGCATCGTAAGGACCGAACCACTCTGCTCGTGTGTGTCACTAATAACCTGTGGATCTCCCTCACACAATGTAACCTACAGTGAGGGAAAAAAGTATTTGATCCCCTGCTGATTTTGTACGTTTGCCCACTGACAAAGAAATGATCAGTCTATAATTTTAATGGTAGGTTTATTTGAACAGTGAGAGACAGAATAACAACAAAAAAATCCAGAAAAACGCATGTCAAAAATGTTATAAATTGATTTGCATTTTAATGAGGGAAATAAGTATTTGACCCCTCTGCAAAACATGACTTAGTACTTGTTGGCAAAACCCTTGTTGGCAATCACAGAGGTCAGACATTTCTTGTAGTTGGCCACCAGGTTTGCACACATCTCAGGAGGGATTTTGTCCCACTCCTCTTTGCAGATCTTCTCCAAGTCATTAAGGTTTCGAGGCTGACGTTTGGCAACTCGAACCTTCAGCTCCCTCCACAGATTTTCTATGGGATTATGGTCTGGAGACTGGCTAGGCCACTCCAGGACCTTAATGTGCTTCTTCTTGAGCCACTCCTTTGTTGGCTTGGCCGTGTGTTTTGGGTCATTGTCATGCTGGAATACCCATCCACGACCCATTTTCAATGCCCTGGCTGAAGGAAGGAGGTTCTCACCCAAGAATTGACAGTACATGGCCCCGTCCATCGTCCCTTTGATGCGGTGAAGTTGTCCTGTCCCCTTAGCAGAAAAACACCCCCAAAGCATAATGTTTCCACCTCCATGTTCAATGGTGGGGATGGTGTTCTTGGGGTCATAGGCAGCATTCCTCCTCCTCCAAACACGGCAAGTTGAGTTGATGCCAAAGAGCTCCATTTTGGTCTCATCTGACCACAACACTTTCACCCAGTTCTCCTCTGAATCATTCAGATGTTCATTGGTAAACTTCAGACGGGCCTGTATATGTGCTTTCTTGAGCAGGGGGACCTTGCGGGCGCTGCAGGATTTCAGTCCTTCACAACGTAGTGTGTTACCAATTGTTTTCTTGGTGACTATGATCCCAGCTGCCTTGAGATCATTGACAAGATCCTCCCGTGTAGTTCTGGGCTGATTCCTCACCGTTCTCATGATCATTGCAACTCCACGAGGTGAGATCTTGCATGGAGCCCCAGGCCGAGGGAGATTGACAGTTATTGTGTTTCTTCCATTTGCGAATAAATCGCACCAACTGTTGTCACCTTCTCACCAAGCTGCTTGGCGATGGTCTTGTAGCCCATTCCAGCCTTGTGTAGGTCTACAATCTTGTCCCTGACATCCTTGGAGAGCTCTTTGGTCTTGGCCATGGTGGAGAGTTTGGAATGTGTGCTCCTAATCTCAGCTCGTTACCTGTATAAAAGACACCTGTGAGCCAGAAATCTTTCTGATTGAGAGGGGGTCAAATACTTATTTTCCTCATTAAAATGCAAATCAATTTATTACATTTTTTACATGTGTTTTTCTGGATTTGTTTGTTGTTATTCTGTCTCTCACTGTTCAAATAAACCTACCATTAAAATTATAGACTGATCATTTCTTTGTCAGTGGGCAAACGTACCAAATCAGCAGGGGATCAAATACTTTTTTCCCCTCACTGTATATGCATATATGCCAGACAATAAAAGCTACAAATAAAACAAGTGGAAGTTCTAGGGAGTTTTACTGTGTGATTTTTAATCCAAGCAGGGAATGAGAGGGGAGGTACCAAGAGGAGAGAGAAATAATTGATATACTTAAAATGGATGAAACTGCCCAGTGGAACGCACTTGTTAATGAGCTTGGGTTCTCAGACCCACAGAGCCCCCATCTTATAAAAGAATCTGGGACCAACACGGCTGTGGTAGATTTCTCTATGGACAGCTATAATGAGAGGGTCCCATTTGTTCCACATATCTGAATCCATGTCTCTAATCTCAGTGTTCAACAAGCCTTATTCGTCCCACACAGACAAGTCAGACTTAACGGCTTCCGGAAAACCATGAAGAAAGAGAGGAGAACATTGCTGTTTTTAACAATTCGATGGACTTTCTCAGATCATCTGATATGTGAGAATGAGACCTCCCCCACATAATGTTTGAAATTGAATAAGGTCAAAAGGTATGACTGTTACTTCAAATTGGGTAAATGGCGTCACTCCAGAGGCTACCGCAGAAAACAGAGAGGGTCATGAGCACGAAACGTTGCAGATGAAAGAGTTAGCTATAGCAATGCACTCTACCCCTTTCATAGCTTTCCAAACAGAACCTGCAGTATGGATTTTCCTACATTCTGGTGGTTATGCACAGTGTCCAAAAAATTAAGGACACCTGTTCTTTCCATGACAGACTGACCAGGTGAAAGCTATGATCCCTTATTGATCACTTGTTAAATCCACTTCAAATCAGTGTAGATGAAGGGGAGGAGACAGGTTTAAGAAGGATTTTAAAGCCTTGAGACAATTGAGACACGGATTGTTTATGTGTGCCAGAGGGTGAATGGGCAAGACATAAGATTGAAGTGCCTTTGAACGGGGTGTGGGTAGTAGGTGCCAGGCGCACCGGTTTGTGTCAAGAACAGCAATGCTGCTGGGTCAACATGAGGCAGTTCTGAGTGTAAAAAAAAAAAGGGCAACTCAATATTAGGAAGGTGTTCCTAATGTTTGGTATACTCAGTATAGAGCGCAGCTAAGTAAATAGTTCAATGCACTTTGCTGATTTAATTAAGAGATATACACATGAAGTAGAATGAAAGGCAGAGTTCTAAGCTTAGTGAATGACATTGAAGCAATAGCCAGGCCGCATATGTAGGCTTAATACAGACACAGTATGCCATAGTATTTCACTCTTCCTACAGTATGTTAGAGCCTATATACTAAAGCTGGGCGATATGGACCAATATCCATATTGAAACAACGTGCCTGAATTGATGCGATAACGATAAATAGAAGTTTAGAACATTAATGTGCACCATTTTTGTTTTGTTTTTATCCTTTCAACTTCTACTACTAGTTTGATGGTTGTAGCCATCAATTGTCTCATTAACAGTCACCCATATTAGCAAACTTATTTCATTTCAAACTTCACATTTCTCTAGTATAGGCTACTTATCGTAATGAACGATATGAACAAGCTGCCTGCGATAAGTGATCAGTGTCGATCATTTTTTGTTTAATCTTCCTTGCTCCACTATCTACTCCTATATCCTCATCTCAACTCCTATACCCATTTACTACCCAGAGCCGACAAAATGGGGGAGGTGAAGGAAGAAGCGGGTACATTGTAGTAATTCTTGAAGCTAGGGAGGAAATCTAATCTATATCTAATATTAGAACACTTTAGTATTAGCTGCCATTTCCCGCTGCTAGTCTTGCCGTGCAGGGAGAGAGATTCAATGTCTGTACGTGCTGTAAACCAATCCTTTCTGGAAACCTGGCTTTTGTGCGATTCATTTGGAATTCTGCTGACAGAGACTTGTGGTAAGAACAGTCCTGTCCATGTGAACAGAATAAAAACAAGAGTTCGCCCTGCCTCATGCTGACATCAGGGTGATTGAAAGAAATCCAACCCCTGATAGAGAGCAGGGAGTACTCAATGAGACTCAAACACAATACCAGTGGGTCCCAACACTAGTTCTTGAAATCAGGTGAGTACTGTATTTTTTTCTAACCTGATCATTATCTACAGATTAACAGCAAACATGCATCATTTCACTCACTTTGCCCAATAGATTAGTAATTACAAAAAAACAAAGCTGACAGTATCATAAACTAAATCTACTGATGAATTGGCAGCATAATGCCACACCACCATGCAGGCCTGTGCGTGGTCTCATCTCATTATCTTCAGTATAGTCTCAGATGTTCAATACAGCCACAGTTAGTGCCATTTCAGCCCCCACTAGGGAGACTTCTGGACTCATTATGACAAGGATGCCTAATTTAGCTGAGCGAGGAGCCAGTGTTTCCTTAGAAACTGAAAACCCTTTTAGGCATATTACAGATACTGTGTGGAAAATAACTGACAATAGTTGCAATAAAATACTCAGAGCACCTTTAGTTGGAAATGTGCTAACATTCGACAGTATATGGCATGCCATGTATTGATTGAAACAAGATATTTAATATTATACAGCGCATTTGGAAAGTATTCAGACCCCTTGACGTTTTCCACATTTTGTTACGCTACAGCCTTATTCTAAAATTGATAAAATTGTTTCCCCCCCCCCCTCAATCTACACACAATACCCCATAATGACAAAGCAAAAACAGGTTTTTAGAAATGTTTGCACATTTACTACAAATAAAACTGAAATATCACATTTACATAAGCATTCAGACCCTTTTCTCAGTA